CCGCCGCTCCCTGCGCTCCCCGCGCCGCCGTGGCACCCACCCGGATGTGAGTGTCCGGGGGAGGCGCTGCCCGCCAACCCCGCCCTGTTCCGCCCTCACCCTTCGCAGCTTCCTGGGCCGTCATCGCCACAAGTGCGCAGCCTCTCCTCGGCCGGGACGCTGAGGCTGCCGGGGGACGCTCTGTCCGGGCTCGCGTGTGAGTAGCAGGGGCGGTCACCAATGAGCGAGCGCGGTGCGCGGAAGGCCCGCCCGCGGCGGGGGGATTGTTGTGGTGGCGTCACGGGCGGGGGACGCGGGTGCCCCATTGGCTCAGGCTGGGCCGAGCGCCTGGCGCGGAACGGGCGGGGAGCGGCCCCGGTCCGGGCGGGCCATGGCCAGCACCGGCAGCCCCCTGGTGAGTGCGGGCGCGGGGATCGGCCTGCGGGTCGGGCGGGTCATGGCCAGCGCCGGCAGTCCCCTGGTTAATCCGCCCAGGCCCGCGGCCCGCGGGGTGCTGGGCGAAGAGGTAGGCCCAGGCGGCCGGGGCGGCCCGTGGGAGCTGGCCGCCCGTGCCCAGCGCTCTGCCGGCGGCSGAGTCGCGGTGGGTTTTCGGGGACGGCCCCGCCGCCTGCGCCCGCTCCAACAGGGCGGGTGAGTGGGCGCTGCCGGCCGTGGGGCCGGTCTCGTAGCTGCTGGCTAGCGGTCCTTCTTCGGCCCCCCGCTTCTGGGTCGCCGCGGGCCTCGCAGGAGGGCCCGTTCTCCTCCGAGCGGAGCTCGTTCGCGGGAGGAGGCGAGGCCGATGGTGAAGGGGCAGCACCGCGGCCTCTCGGGGACCTCCGTTTTCGGTTCCGGGTACGGGGCGTTGGCGTGGCTATGCCGGGCCGGCTGTGCCGGCGTTGTTGCCTTGTGGGAGCTACCTGTCACTGTAATCGATTTCTTTTGTAGTAGGAACAAACGCGTGAGGAAGATGGTGAAGGTTACAGTAGGACGCTGTTTCAAACGCGGTTGTTTACGTTAGTCTGGYAGCGTAAAACTCGTTTTGTGTGCACTGGCATATCTGTAAGAGGGAGTTGTAGCTGGTATACAGACGTGGTAAGGGTGAATCTTCGTTTGTGTTGTAAGTTACACAGTTTAGTTGGTATAGACGTTCCCTCATTAAAGAAGAATAATCACCAGCTTTCACTTGTGTTGGCACAATACCTGGCAGTGATATGTTCCTTATCCTCKTGTGCATGCTGCTGTGCTTTTGGGTCTTGTGTTCTGTCAGTTGCAAACTGCCAAGCYTCACCCTGCAGCACTTAAAAGCTTTTCATCAGCTGGAGTTGGCTAAGGAGGATTTTCTGTGGAGACTGGCGCAGCTGTGTTGATTCTTGACGACCTGTTTCAGTGTGCTCTCCACTTCATGCTCAATGATATTTTTCATCAGTGTGTTACTCATAATCATCCTTCTTCACTGAAGATGAGAAGTACTATGCAGAATAGCCCTACAGAGCACATGAAATCAAGGACTATGAAAAAAACATCAAGGACTATGAAAAAGCCCAGTTTTTGATTATTAAAATTATTAGTGTTGCTTTCTTGCTAATTGRCACAGCTCTATAAAGCTGCTTCTTAGCATCAGAGGCTACATTGTTTACTTGGTCTCTTAAAGAGAGAGTATGCTTCCCTTTGTGCTTCTGCTCCTGCTCATTGCCCGTCTTTTCAGGTTTTTCTCTCCAAAATACTTGCATTTCTGTTCCTTTTCTATATACAATTTATGTCCTTTCCCATAAGAAAAACATGTAGAGAGTGGAAAAATTAAGAACTGACAATATTTCTTTTAAAAATTGAGATATTTTGTTGGGATAATTTTTTTTTGTTCTCTCTCTTCCATTCTGTTTAATATTTTCCTGTTCAGGTGAGTGCTCTGACAGGCTGTACCCAATGGAGGTGGCCCAATTCAACTAACCTTTTTGTAATTCAGATGATATCAAATATGGGAAATCCAGTATTTCTGAGACTTAGCAAGTAACTGTTAATGTTTATGTGATGGAGTTAATGACARTGAGTTCTGAGATTATTGAATTGTAAATGCATAAAATGGGACTGGGGAGGGGAGATGTGAATAGAGGACAGCTTTGAAAGGAATATTCTAGCAATTCTCTGCCAAAACAATCAATTTCTGTATTTTTTGTATGCAGGGATAATTCCTAAAATGTTCCTTTATTTTCTGAAGACRTGGCATAAGGAGGGAGTTCCTTCTTTATTTCTAAGAAGGATACTATTTTAGTGGAGCTGCAGGTGCCAGCATGGTCTTAGTTACTCGCTGTTGATGCTGTTGTGAATATATTTGGTCTCAAATCAAGAAGTGCCCTCCTCTCAAAATGAGGAGTCTGGAAGTATGGTAATTAACATCTTCATTTGCAGCAACATCTTCACTGGAATGTTTAGCTGCTCCAGMAATTACTAGGTTCTGCCAGCATTTCTGACCTGATAAAACCTCTAGTGTAGTCATGGATCTTKCTGAACAAAACTGCTAGCTTCTTCTTTTCCCCCAGTGGAACTAATATGAACTACAGTTTTGGAAGAACTGGGCTGTTAATAGACTGACTTCTGCAACTATGTTAAGAATTAGGTTAGGTTATGTTAAGAGATCTGTTTGTAGTTTTTTGTAGGTGTAAACCTTCCAGATAAATATGTAGGGAAAACTGTTCAGGCCTATCTATTTAATACTCTCTTGGGTTTTCAGCATAAAGCTATGATTAGTCTTTATCATTCMCATGTAGACTTTTAACTGGGCTAAGTTTTCAGTCAATCCCCAAAGCAGGCTGCAGGAATAGAAAATAGTAGAAGGCAGGATGTTGAAAAGGTGCTCAAAGATGGAAAAACTGGAAGAAGTTTTAAGAGGAGCAGTTTTATATGCATTCATATTTCTAACATTRCAAGTGCATAGAGCTAGTGGAAAGGACATGATCCACAGAATAATCTGAGTATAATAGCCATGTTCAACTAAACAGTGATTCCACCATGTGGGTAGGCTTTTTTCTTTTAAACAAATTGTTCTTTGGGTTATTGATCTATTACAGTGCTGGAAGTAGCCTGTTTCATTTAGCTCTTGAAACTCTTACAGGTAGGTTACTGTAGCTGGATACTGTAAGATACCCTGCAGGCTCTGGCTCATCGTGCTTTCCTAAARATCAGTTGGAAGGCAGCTTTGCTGGAAGAACTTGGAAGGGGATGCTGACTACTGAGGTACTTGCAGGCATTTTTGTCCAGGAGGCATGAAATCAGAGGCACAATCACTTTGTTAGAATGAAAGATGTAGTAAACCAGCAAAGTAATAAAAGWAATTTGGTCTATGAAGATGTGAAATATTTTAGCGATTCCTGTTTTTTAACAGTGAACTTGTGGGTTTTATACATATATTTGTCTAGAAAAGCTATATGGGTTGCTGTAGAACTGGCACATTTATGGCATGCAGAAAATATGTAAGTGACCTTAATTTAGAAAACACTATGTTTAAAAGATAAAATCCTTTTCCAAGTTCCTCATATTGGAGCTTTCCAAAGAATACGTATGATGCCAAGGAATTATTGTTTCTGGTATTTCAAATGGAAAAAACTTTCTTTGTAAGTGGCCAAGTTAGATTATGTATATGTTCTAAAGAAGGAAAAAAGGAGAAGAAGCAGATTTTCCTCCCTTCCCACTTCCCTTTCTGACATCTTATTTGCAGGTAAGCTTGTGGAAACTTAGTACMGTCTAAAGTGTCTGAACAGACTGSAGACAAAATGCACAAAGTTAGCTGTTTGGTCTAGAACCTCATTTTTCACACCATATGAATTTTACTCAGAAGTGCTGGAGGAAATAAGAGGTTTGCTGTGTGAATAAATACTGAACTTGAGAGTTGCTTTCTGCTTTAAAATACAGGCTGTAAATACTTCACCTGCAAATATTTTATAATTCTTTATGGTGAAAAAATGCAAGAATTAACTTGCTTAGCACATTCTTCTGAAAAGGAAATACTGAATTCRATGTTTGGTTCTTTAGTAATCCTGCAGGAATTTACAGTTCTTSACTGTGCCATGAACCATCTATATACTGCTGCCTCAGTGTGTAGGCTTCTCTGTTCTTCACCCCAAGCTGTTCTCTTTGTCCCCTAGAGCTGCAAGCAAGGAGCCTGGCATAGGAAGTCCTTTTGTGTTTGTTAGCCTGAGCCCCCATCTCTRCTGCACAGCACCTGATTATCAGTGTGCCTTGTGAGGTAACTGGTGGAGTAGCCTGGGATCCAGACTATTGCAATCGCAGATGGCTTTTGTTTTCTTGTGAACTAGCCTAGATCTGTTTATGTTTAATGAATTCTCAATGGCTTGTTTACATTACAGCTATTTGGGCCATAGGCTGACTAGGTTCTTGGAGATTTATGTGGTTTCCTGTTTCTGATTTGTTTTGAAGCACCAGGCAGTGGAAGGAGGCCTTAAATAGTCTCTGCCTCTGAAGTGCTTTACTTAGCAGTAGAGGAGGCTAGAGGGTAACTGGCTGATAGACAGGTTCTTAGAAATCCTTTCATTAGCTGATTTGGGAATTAGAATCTTGGAAATTATTGACAAAAAAATACCATTGGATGTGAGGAGGTCAAATTTAGAGAAAGGTATTTGCATAAACTAAAACTTTGGATTAGCATGGCTTGGTGTATGAAAAATTATTTTCTCTAGAAATGAAATCAGTCTTGTAGATAAAATACCTTTATTCCCTAAAGATCAAAATAATCTAAGAATGCAGAGGTGTTCTCTAGGCTTCCAGGCCRTTGAGCCTCTTGGCTATATTTCTGCTGATATAATATGAAGCCAATATCCTCATTACTCACTTATGGATGAACTGTGTTACGGATTTACTGCACAAAGCAGGGAATGTCAGTAGACAAACAGTATTTCTGTCTCCCACTGCTGCAGGGATACCAGCCATTTTAGRTGAAATAGTGTGTTTGAATAATGTCTTTCAAGTTTTCCCCTTCCATTAATTTGTACAGTCTTTAATCTTGATATATACTACCAGGACATGATTTTTAAAGATCTTTTGTTGGCTTTTAAATTCTGGTTATTTCTATCTATTTCTATTTTGTTAAGAGATTTTTTTTGGCGTATAGTTTTATGCAGTGCTTCAATGAGTGCTTACCTTTCAGCATTTGAGAGGTTTCAAATGACACTGGACATGAAGCTGAGCATAGTTGTTTTGGTGGGTTAGAGCCTAGRCTTCTTTAATCAGTTAGCATAGCAGTCTGTTTAGGTGACAACAACAAAAAAATCCTCCTTCCATGCAGCCAAATGCTTTTGAAATTTAATGGTTCATTCATAGAAATGGCCTATAAATAACAGTTTTTACATGTGGCAACTTCTGACATCAAAAAACTTCACCCTAGATAGATGTATGATTTCAGAT